ATTGTCAAACAGAGATCTTTTTTTATTTTTTTAAATTCTGAAAATGTAAAGTGGCCATTATTGAGAGGCCTTGCTTTCACTCATCTGAGATACAAAGCATAGGTGTTTCTTCTTCACATTTCAGTATTAACACATTGCTATATATATTGCACAGATTTTTCAGTGTATTTTCAGTAAAGAAAGGCATCCATTTCTTTGTATTTGAGATATCAGCCTAAATTATTCATTTGAGGAAAAATGCTTGATGAAGCTCTTTAGCATTGAGGTTTGTAATGTGTACAAGGGAACTCTTCTTCCAAGCAATCTAGTGAAAGACAACCTAGAATAGGTAAGATAGAACAAAATCAGGAATGCTTATTCAAGAAAGATGAAGCTAAAGAAATTAAAGAGCTGTGGCTCATGAAAGGACCGTAATTATGTTGGCTTAAAAATGTGTTGGTGTGGTTTAAAAGCATATTTTATTTGCAAATGCAAGATGATCTCATTAGTGGGGGGAGTACAGAAAGATCTATAAAGATCTATCAACATTAAATTCTTTTCAGACTGAATCAAAAACTACCCCTGAGCAAAAACATGGTAAGGACAAATAAGAGACATGACTTTCAATTGTTAATTGAGATTAATTACGAGTGGTAGACTATAATTAAATTAATTAATTCAGCGTTAATTGTCTGCACTGTTGTTATTTTCCATCACATCTCTCTGTGAGTGTCCCCTTCAATGCATTTTGAGCACATGCATTATGCTAAGTGTATTAACACACCGTGATTGCTGTAATCTGCATTAAGGTCAGTGTTGTACCTAACCTTTAAAACCCAGAAAACCTTGAGCAAGTTTATCAGTCACATTTCCTAGAATTAAAGCAGATGTTTTGGTAGACTAATTGTTTTGTGTATTCAGTATTCTGACTCTGAACATTTGCAGCTGAAAATGTTGGCACTAATATTATTTTGACCTTGTGTGACTGAATAATCTCTTCTCTTATGTTTTGTTAATCACCAGCAATATATATGACTCTGCTCTTAATGATCACAAAAATCTTTTATCTTTAGGAGATGCAGTGTGAATACAAGCTGAGTGCAGCTTGAGCTAGAAAAACTATCTAAGGAAAATTTTAGAGTATTGTGATAAAAGATGAAATTTATGTTCCACTGCACCAGTAAGAAAAGTATTGGCTTTCCTGTAGGAAACAGTTCCTGTACTGCCAATATATATTTAATTTATGTGATCAAGCAATCCAACCAATTTGTCAGATTTTTAATATTATGTGTGCTTAGGTGTTTACTATTTATCTCCAATGAAAAACTTCACACCTTAATTTGTATTAAATATGTCATGTTAATTTCATTATAATGAAATAGTAGCTTTATTCTGTGTTTTCACAATTTTTAAATCTTTTACTCTTCCAGATTTCTAAATTCTTCTGTGTAAAAAGCCCAGAATAACAACAACATATAAAATATGAAACACTGGTCCTAGGTTTTCCTTTATATGTGTGAAGCAATAGGAGTTTTTCTTGTCTAGAGGATGAGTGTGAAATTCTTTCTTTGTGAATATCATTGAGACATGCACAGATCTAGTGCTACCATTCAGTTTGATAACACAGAAAAATTGGTGAGGCTGGATCCTAAATGGTGCCAATGATAAAAGTTTGTTTAAGGGCGTTTTCAATTACACAATTTACTTTTTTTGCCTGCCTCCTCAGAGCATACATGACATAAATGAAACTGCTAATATGATCACTTAAAATCACTCAGGTCCAACTCAGCTTCCTAGAAAGAGGTGGCATTCTTTTCCCTGCTCTGAACCATCTGATCTGTATTTTGAGAAAAAGAAATGGAATGGAATATGAAAAAACTAGG